AAGTTATAGAAGACATACAACTACAGCATGAGAGCACTGGAAATGTAGATAAAACTCCCCTACTCGACCTGCAGATTAAACAACAGCGAACAAAACACTCACAAAAGTAAACGACCCTTTTCCCACGCCTTTCAGGTGTATTGGGTATATAGGGCTAGACGTATATTTTGTAGACCAAACGGCATTTGGTGGGTGACGTGGTTAGCATCACGCCGGCCGTCTTTACTTTCCAGGACTGTACCTTGTACCCACGAAAGGCTAAGTAGACCTGGGAGCTAGTCATTTTTGAATAAAGTCCGGCCTCCGTCAGGAACCGAACCCACGACCTTCCGATCCGCAGCCGAGCGTCTAGCCGCTAGACCACGGCGACTCCCAACGAGAGAGAGCAAGGAAAAACTATGATACATGATTACATTAATTTACAAAGTCGCACGAGAATTAGAGGCAATCCATGCGAAAAATGAGCACTGTAATGAGCATACTTTTTCAAGTAGTCAGTCGGAGGAATTATTTGCACTCAAAACAGACTTGTGTTATCAATGAAAGCAATCAGAATCACTATCCTTCTTTTTCTTCTTCTTGTTTACCGGTTGTGAATTCCACCGGAAAGTCCTGGTTTTCTCATCCGTGAATTACAATTAAAAAAATTTAAAAAAAAACATACACGTTGCAAAACTTATTTGATAATATAAAGAGCCGTGTAGTCATGTCTTGAAGCGCACGGTAGACATTTCCATGACCTTAAAATGAATATTGCATTGGTACTTTTCAACGTATTTCAATTAGTACTTTTGGCGGGGTCTTTGACTAAGGCTTTGCGAACGCGCTTTGTAATGCCGTGGTGCCGGGTTCGATCCCAGCTGCATGCCTTGCGCTGGTTTCGACAGTGGTAATGAGAAGCCGACCGTCCAAAAAGCAATGACAAACTACTGGACGTAAATTTGCCTAGAAAAACTACAACAGCCCAAAAAAATGATAGGGTTGACTCTGCAACGTCCTGTAAAGGATACGCAACTAACTTAACTAACTTTCCAGCTTCCCTAAAACATCGTTAGACTGCAGCATTAGCAATTTTTTTTTTTTTTAGTTTAATGACTTTATACCTTTCTTGATGACGTCATGTACTTGTGGTTTTTTTTTTTTTTTTTCAAACGTTTTTTTCTCATATAAAGTGTGGTGAGATCTTACCAACACCCTGACCATGTTTGATAATATACTCAGGTCTCTGAAGATGAATATAGATTTTGTTATCTTGTCTGAATGCGACTTAGTAAGCTGGTGTGTGCAGGGACTGAATGCCATGTTTCAATAGTAATGTTATTTATTTACGCCCCCACCCCCTTTTCTTTCCCACCTTTGTTTTTTAAATTGAAGATAATATCATAAAACGAGTGAGTTTGTTTATGTATTGTCAAAATCTGATATAATTACAATGTTAATTCAGATCTTGTGATATAATATATTGGTTAATAAAAATGAGTTATAATTATTCAATCTTACGATCGTTTTTATTTATTTCATGTTGATGTTTATTTCATGACTAATAACACAAGATGTATTAGTTTCAGTTTAAGATATTAGTTTGTCTCAGGTGTTAGTGATAATTGCCCGGTGACACAAAGTGCCAGCACTTGGATGAGAACAGCCCGGATGCAAGTCCTAGAAATCCAGGTCAGCCCCTGGGTTATATTTGGGGACCCAGTGGTGGGGCTTTCAAATATTACAAATATTGCGTCGCACATTGGTGCAGATTTTCTCTTGTATGTTGGTAAGAGTTGGCATGGCTGACTGACTGACTGACTGACTGACTGACTGACTGACTGACTGACTGACCTTCAACCACTCCAACAATCAGTAAAAGTAAACTTCTGCTGGAGTTATATCCCGGTAAATGTTCGTTTTTTTTTTTTTTTTTTTTTCTTAAATCCTTTGCATTATTTTTTTTTAAATTACATTTCGTTGTCATCTTTTTCGAAATGTAGATGTAAGGCTTTAAAGGGAGTTTTTGATTTACTTGTTAGATCTGTGGGGGCTGCTAACATGTCCAACTGTAACCCGTGAGTATCGCCCCGACTCAGTGCTCCCATCACTATAAGATGCGCAAAGGAGGTTGTCCACTAATTGTGGGAAAATTAAAAAAAAACAGTCTATGGCACTCCTACCACTACATCTCTGGTCGTGACTCAGGAACCAGCTCCCACACCCTGCAGAAATAGATTTGCTAAACAGAATTACCAGACAGGCAGTGAAATTGGACATTGACGTGTTTAGCAAACGAGGGCGTCCAAGAGAAACTGAAAGATGGAAATGTTCATGTTGTGCTTGCTCCTCCATGGAGTTTCTACTACACATACGGCAGCGGTGGGAACTAGCGGAGTAGACCATTATATTTGATTATTCAGGGCAAAACCGGGCAATTATATCTAGTTCAATAAAAATTAGTTGTCACTTGCAGGTGAGGATTGCCGTAAGATATAGCATTTCGTTTTCCTATGGGGGAAGAGGATTGACATATGATCCATCGGTTAACTTTACGCAAACCGCGCCCCCCCCCCCCCCCCCCCGCCCCCCCCCCCCAGTAGGTTACTTTTCATTCATAAGTTACTTTGACTAGTCGACTTTCCTGAAGGTTACTGGCGTGTCCTGCTCTATTGGGTGCTTCCTGTGTTGTCTTGCATTACCGTTTTCATTCCAAGAAAGAGATTGCCTGGGACATAGCACTCTCTCTAGGGTGTTAGGGCCAGTTGCTCCATGTTTATGGAGCTTTAAAAGCGTTGGCGTGCTGAAATATTACAACACGCGATATCAACGGCAACGGAACATCCCCTTAGCCTTGTGCCAAGGTGACAGGTTCAGGAGCTACCAATTAGAAAATAGGTAGTGCGTATATGGGCGCGGCGTGGGGAGAATAAGGTTACGCGTTCCGATATATTATGTAAATGCGTTACCTCGCTCATCCTGAAAAATATCGTAATACAATATTGTAATAGATATAGACAGATTCTTTTGTCACTAAAAGATCACAAATACCAGTTTGTTTTAAAATTGTTGAGTCTGCCACACACAAACACACACACACACACACACACACACACACACACACACACACTAGCACAGACGCTCGCACACACAAATATTACTAATGTAACAGCTGTCATCCCTATCAGTGGGAGTCTCCCTGGCGTTGGCGGCTAAAAGCCTGCCTGCGGATCGGAAGGCTTCAGGTTCGCGTCCTGAAGGAGACGAACCTTTTTTTTTTAATTTAATGACCTTGACTTTCTGGTTGACCCAGCCTTTAGTGGGTACCAGGTGAAATCCTGGGGATCACATCACCCACCAAGTACCTATTGGTATAAAAACATTTGGGTCTAGCCCTATATACCCAATACGCCTAAAGGCGTGGAAAAGGGTGCTTTACTTACTTTGCATCTCAAGTAGTGATGTAAGCGGGTTTTCCAAAGGGGAAACAAATTTGAGGGATATTTAAAGAAACAAAAGTAAACTCCTACAGTCTGCGACAGACCCCAAACATATTAATAATCATATTAAACGTCGGCGACTATGGCTGATGCGTTGCGAGCGCGCTTCGTAATACCAGGGTGCCAGGCTCGATCCTAGCTGCGAACGGTGTGTCTTGCGATGGTTTTGACAGTGGTACCGAGAGCTGACCGTTTAGTAAGCAATGGCAAACTACTAAACGTAAATTTGCCTAGTAAAACCCCATCAGCCAAAAAATGCTGGAGTTGGCTGTGCAACGTCCTGTAAATGAAAAAGCAACTAAATTAAAAAAAAAAAAAATTAAAAGTAAAAATGAGTAAATCTAAAGTCAACTGCAGAAAAATAGGCCAACTTCTTTCATATGCAGTTGTGATATGGATTAACCGATTGTTTTTTACAATTATATAAAAGTTTAAGATCTGGGTCAGGCCTTCGAAGATAATAGATCATCAGAAAGTCTTAACTAATCTGTATTTCGACGTTTGAAGTTTGAATTACAGTACTAGTATGTCAAATGATGCTCTCTCGTCAGATTTTGCATGAGTAAAAGAAAAACTGACTTGGTCATATCAAGCACCACGACCGTTTGGAAAAAAATTATAGCAGAAAGCATGGTACCAGGAAGGAGGGGCAGGGGCCGACCGACACGAAGATGGGCACGGGATATAAGTACTCCTTGAGTATGAAAGTACATAAGGCGGGAGACCGAGTTTCTATCAGGCAGACTGTGACGAGAGCGACGTTCTGCAAAGGACCTGCTACATGATGATGATGAAATAAACACACAGGTGTAACAGTGGCCTTTCAACAACGAAAACGAAAAATGAAGAAAGGCATGTACCGCAATCCCACTGGATACTTGGCAGGGGCTGTTCGAGAAGGCATCCGCCGTAACAAGTATTTGGATGCTAATGGTAACTATTTTTGATTAAATAACGAAGACAGAAGACAGTAGATCGGTTTTAATTCATTGATATAAAACTACGTTATCTACGAAAACTTCCATACACTCCTTGGTATCATCACTATCAAGTGCCTTTTCAACTGGTATGGACGATAATACCTTTCCGCAGTCTGCGCTCGCCAATAACATAGGCTGACACCCCCTCTCCCCCACCCCACCCCCTTTCCCCACGCTGTGACAAATGATTGTCAAGAACCTTCATGCATTGTCGTCCTCTAGATCTTTTTTCCACAAGTCTTTCCAACGGTCACTTTTTTTTTTTTTTTTTTAGTTTCCTGTTGTTTTTATAGCATGGTAAAAACAAAAAAATCAGAGTCAAGGTACACTTGGTATAGTACTGCTCTACTTAAATGTGTCGGTGAAAGCTACAAACAGTGGATCACCATTAAATATTAATTTTTTCTATTGTAACTCAATAACACTATTTAGGGTTATGAATTCATCAGATCAGAAAAGCACTATAAAATTATTTAATTTGCATTTTATTTCAGAATCTCTATATGTGCCAATGAATAAATGCAAATGTAATTATCAGGCACTAATGGAACACAGTAAAATTACTCAAAACTTTCTTTCCTAGCTTCTTCACTTCGACTGTGGCTAGCTTTCCTTCGGTGACAACTTCCTGACGCTCTACAAATGGATAATACTTCCGGAAAATATTACACGGTTTGTACTCGTATTCGTAAAATGGAATCAAAGGCCTGCCGCTCAAATGGTCATAGTCTCTGCTAACACATACAGTTGGGTCATACATTGTTGTACAAAGATGTTCAAACCTCCTTGGAACACTGACCATTTGGTCTTCAAACGGCCGGGAAGTCAGTGGGAAAATGTCTGCCTTTTTGAAAACAAGTCTGTGCTTTTTAATTCTAGAGAGTGCCCAAATGTATTCGGCGTCCTCCGTGAAAAAGAAAATATCAATGTAGGGAACATGAACTAAGTCATCGTTTCTCATTGGCTCAGATTGTTGCCAGAAAAACTTGTACATCATGTAACTTCTTGTATCCACATCAAAGTCTGGAATGCAATGGAGTATCTGAGAATGGAAATTTTGTTTGCTTTAGAAGTTCAGTTTCTATAATAATTATAAACACTCATTCAACTAAAAAAAAAAAAAAATGCAAAGTTAACCAGATGGCTTGACGCAAACTGCAAATCTAGTGAAAGCAAATATAAATATAAAAGAATCTATTTCACTCCCCAGATTTCTTCGTCTTCTTTTTCTTCTACTCGCCTTCTTCTGTATTCACCATTATAAAGGTGCTAGGTGCATTGTTATGGGGTTTACATCTAGGCTACGATATGTGCGTCTTTAAGCTCAATACATCTAGCTGTTTTAAACCCTTAATTTGTCACTCCTAATGAATGTTGTTAAGGAGGAATTGTTCTGTTTATTTCATTCCTACGATGAGACACTACAACCCGCACAGGGAAGATACATTATACAACTTCTAGTCCTGTTTCGATGTCTATTTAAACTGTTAGATTAGAAAAATATTTTAAACCTGAGTGTGCAATGTCATTTGTTTAAACTCCTTAAGCTTGAGGTGGGCCATATTTGATCCCATTTTATCTTAGGAAGTTACTTGAAACAAAAAAATTCTGTGTTGGAAAACAGAAAAAAGAAACCAAACCATTAAAAGTTTCTGTTGCCCGGCTACTGAATTTAGTGCTTGTACAAACCGTATGTTATATAGTTGCGTAGCCTCTACAGGACGCTGTAGAACTAATCCCATTGCTGTTGTGGTTTTTCTAGGGAAATATTACGTCCAGAGGTTTGCTGCTGCTACCTTTGCGGTCAGCTCTTGGTAGCTCTGTCTCAACCAATGCAAGACAGTTCGTTTGCAGCTGGGATCGAAACCGGCCCCTCGGCATTACGAAGTGTATTCGCAACACCTTAGTCACAGACGTCGACAGTATGTAAAAAAAAAAAAAAGTTAAGTTCCCTTTTCACGCCTTTCGGCGCTTCGGGCATATGGGCAGAGCGTCCCATATTTTTACAGACCATCAGCACTCTGTGGGTAATGTGGTCAGCATTACGCCGGCTGTCTTTACTTTCCCAGGACAGCCCATCCTGGTACCCATTTTAGGCTGGGTCGACCTGCGACGTCCCCATATCACGACAAAAATCCACGCAGCCTGCAGTGGGTTTCGATCGCGGTATGCTGGCTTACGGGTCGGACTCGCAACGCCTTAGCCACGGACGCCCCGTCGACAGTATGTACCGTAAGTAAAAGCAGTATGTACTGTAAGTGAAAACAGTATGTACTGTAATAAAAAACAGTAACTACCGTATGTAAAAACAGTATGTACTGTAACTATAAACAGTATGTATTGTAAGTAAAAACAGTACGCACTGTAATAAAAAAAATTATATACTTCAAGTATATACAGTATGTACTCTCAAGTAAAACAGTTTGCAATGTAAATAAAAACGGCAGGCACTGTGTGTATAAACAGTATGTACTCTAAGTAAAAACAGTATGTACTCTAAGTAAAAACAGTATGTACTCTAAGTAAAAACAGTATGTACTCTAAGTAAAAACAGTATGTACTCTCAGTAAAAACAGTATGTACTCTCAGTAAAAACAGTATGTACTCTAAGTAAAAACAGTATGTACTCTAAGTAAAAACAGTATGTACTCTAAGTAAAAACAGTATGTACTCTAAGTAAAAACAGTATGTACTCTAAGTAAAAACAGTATGTACTCTAAGTAAAAACAGTATGTACTCTAAGTAAAAACAGTATGTACTCTAAGTAAAAACAGTATGTACTCTCAGTAAAAACAGTATGTACTCTAAGTAAAAACAGTATGTACTCTAAGTAAAAACAGTATGTACTCTAAGTAAAAACAGTATATACTCTAAGTAAAAACAGTATGTACTCTAAGTAAAAACAGTATGTACTCTAAGTAAAAAAAACAGTATGTACTCTAAGTAAAAACAGTATGTACTCTCAGTAAAAACAGTATGTACTCTAAGTAAAAACAGTATGTACTCTAAGTAAAAACAGTATGTACTCTAAGTAAAAACAG